ATTGCTTGGATCTTAACCTAGTTGATGGTTGGTCACTGCGAAGAAAAATAAAATGCATTATTTTGTCGTTATTTCGGTAATCACGAAAGTTTATTTTTTTGATAATCGAACTCTGGTTTGTTTTTGGGAAAACGGCTTGAAAATAATTCCAAAGAAGATGGGGGGGGAACATTTCTCAATTCATTTTACAGTACTGTAATTGGAGCAGTGCAGACTAAGCGAAATTCGATAGTAGACGTAGTCCTGGGATAATTCAAGGTCGGCTTGCCCAGTGATCAAAAAGCTTTGCTTGTCAGAGATTTCGGGAATTTCTAGCTTGTGGTGCTGAAATTTTTTTGTCGATGGCATTTTCTGTCAAGGAGTTACACTTTCTGTAACATTTTCTTCCCATTTTTCAGCTCTTACATTACATTTCCTTAGTTAAGTTAAACTGCCTTCTTCGGACATTTTGACTCATTTAGAAGGATACTGAATTTTTTTAAGGATTATTTTTGAGCACATGAAACAGTATTGGAGTGATTATAAAATAATAACGGTTTTTCATCATTAAGTCTTCTTTCGAAGGACTTTTATTTACACAAATTCTTCACGCCTAGACCGAAGACAGTGGTCTAACTTTGGGATTAGGAGTTTCTTAAAAATTTAATCTGCATCGTAACTCAACTAGAGAAGAATCCAATTCTTGGAATATACAGACAGCGTAGTCAACAATTCACATTTCTTATGCAGGGAGAATTATTTCTAGAATTTCCTTCGTGATCAAATTGATTATTTAGGTCTCTCGAAAAATTCAGAAGTGAAAAAAATACGAAATAGGAGTGCATGATAATTCGAAAGAAATCGAATTGAATTTCCATTCCGGCGTCTCAAATCCAAATCCTGATACTCTATATTTCGCAAATGCCTAAAATAGGATGGTTGTACTGTTCCTGGTTTCCTCTTTATTTTTTCCTTGCAGCTGCCATTTGACTGAAGCCCCAGAAATCTCAAGACTAAATCAATTTCTGGTAATTTATGTGAAAATTGATGCATGAAAACTGGACCGTTGTCCTTATTCTTTAAATTTTCATCCTGTCACATAATGAAGAGTGGCACTCGTACAGTACTCGGAAACCTTGAATACTTCGTCACTGCGTGATTGCGCTAGTTTCGAGTAAGGTTTTTGCATGGGAGACTTGAAGTTAGAGGTGAGAAACAATTCAATTTTCTCGATACATTTCGCCAAATGTTTTAAAAGTCATAATAGAGAATTCGAGGTATGGTAGCAATATCAGCTCGAAAGAAATCAAATAGTTCAATCATCAATTGATTTCTATTTTGATGGTTAGGCTTATTTGGCTAAATGTATGTTGAACATCTCTGCTTCAATTTGTTCAGGATGCGCGACTCGAATTGAAAACGGAGTTTTCATTTGATCCAGTAGTGAATAAAAATCTCGGAATTCTCTCCATTTGAGCTTTTAATTCCCTGATGAACGTAACAATCCCGGTAAGTCAAAGCCCAAAGCCAGCAAACCCGAGGTTCGATCTTCTGGTTCATAATTCCAACGCTTTCCCGAAGATTTTGACTCGCCGATGGCTGACAATTCATCCTAAATCCTTTTCAAGAAAACAGCATCGCATCGAAGTCGGGATAGATGGCCTTTCTAATAGCGCAATCCTCGACGATAATAAGACCCGGAACTGCCTCCGGCAAACCTGCGGGAGCGGTAGTCTCCCGAGGCAGAGCTTCCACGGTTCGAATAGCCTCGGAACACGTTGTAAAATCCCCCCATCCCACGGTAATTGTTGACGTACAAGAAATCTGCAAGCAATGAGATTGAAAGAGGCATTTATTTTGGATAATCAAATGGTATTTTTCTCACCCCCGCGCAATCCGTAATTACCGGAATTGCGGTTGTAATTGCTGGATGCGTTGTTCACATTGTATCCCCGGCGTCTGCCTCGAGCACGTCCACGTTCTCCGAAGGTTTCCAAGTTCAGTTTCACTTCGCGGTTACGATCCGTGTTATTCCTCGGATAAAAATTGAAAAGTTCACGTTATAGGAAAGAGCCGTTCGAAATAATCGTTCAAGGAAACTCACGATTTCGGAGGCACGTTTGACAAATTGTCGAAGAAGCTCAATGTCCTATCATAACACCTCTTAATGGACTGGTTCTCGTCATTCCCTTGAACCTCAGAGATGCACACGTTGTCATCGGTCGATTTCTCCTCCACCTTATTCTCCTCAGGCTTCTCATCGTCGACGTTTTCCTTCTCAGTCTCCTCGGCTGGTTGAGTCTGCTCTTGAACTTCTGGTTTATTGAGGGTAAGATTTCATCAAGACTTTTTGTCGCCGAAATCATCGATAAAAAGGG